ATGTCAAAAAGGAAATTTCCAAAAATGAATAATCTCTTTTTCTTTCAATTTCGTAAAAACAAATATATATTCCGACAATATTGTAAAAAAATTATTTTTATTCAAGTTGAAAGTTAAAATTGGAATATGAAAATAGCAAAGGTTATTGGGACAAAAAATCATAGGTAGAAGGTATTAACCACTAATTCAAACTAAATTAATTTAGCAAATTTCCCAACAAATATTCAAATTGTATTGCAACGCAATTTTTCTCTCTTTCCAATCAACTTGGATTTGACTTAGTCAACGTCAGATGACTCATATACAAGCACTTGAATTGATTGATTATGTCGATGTCATGACTTATGAATCATGATGATGTGTATGTGACCGATTGAAATCTTAATGCGAATACAATATAAGAGCCCTCGAAACTTCATCACATTATTTGATTTATTTTATTCCGAGAAATTAGCTCTCTGGATACAAATTTTCCACGCTAAACTACATATATTATAATTATTCGATATATTAAGTATTAATTAAGTATACTTTCTGTGTGGAAAACGGACACACATCCTACTTAACTCTTGAGGTCAACAATGTATGCATGCATTTGCATGATACACATGGATACATAGAGTAGAATTTTAGTACGGCAGTAGCTCCAATAATTTTTCAAACTCAGATTCAATTTAAATAACTTAGATATATGTGTACTAATTAGTAATTACCACTGTATACTATAATCGATGATAGAGAGGTGTATGAATTTCGATAAGTTTTGTAATTAACCAAATCTAAAAAGAAAGTAATATATGTGACTGTGATCGTATACAGTGTAGTGCCCAACTTTTTCGGGATCTAAAGCAATGTAGTACGTTAATGCGATTAAAATTCAATTAAAAAAAGTATGTCTTTAAATCGTTTATTAATAAAAGATTATTAAATAGACTGATTTATGTCAATAATATGTTATAACTAAAAATGTTAAGTGATAGGTTATTTGATGATTATTCATGCTGTATAATTAAGACAAAATAATTTTGGACGAATTTGCCCTCTTGACAGACCATAAAGCAAACTGCTCAATCTGCCATAAAACAGATATAACATGACGCTTTTTTTTTAATCAATTTCTCTTTCATCAATTTTTTGTCTTTTTTGATATCCACACCTATAATGTTTATTATTAGAACTGAATTATTTCAAAATCTATATGTAAAAAAAAAGATTTTTTTCTTTACAAAATAGATATAAATTACTCAAATTATTTATATCATGTTAAGATGAAACGTA